ATGCATCTTCTACCGTTGTGGGCGTTGGCGATAGCAGGATGGGTCGCCTCCGTCGCCGCCGCCCCCGGACCTCGCCCTCAGGAAGGAGAGGACCTGCTCCCCGCCCTCAAGGACCTGGCGAGGCGTAAGAGGGCGGGAACCAAGTCCAACCTCCCGTACTCGAACTACAGGCCTTTGGCTGGCATGCACAGGTGAGGTGAAAAGGGAGAGGGAGAGGGGGAGGGAGGAGGAAGGGGAGAGGGGAGGGGTAAGGGAAAGGAGGGAGGGGGTTGAAGGGGGGAGGAGGAGGGGGGGAAAGGAGGGGGAGGTGGTTGAAAGGGGGGAGGGGGAGGGAGGGGAAGTGAGAGGGGGAGGTGTTGAAAGGGGAGGGAGGAGGGAGGGGAGGAAGAGGGGATGGAGAGGGGAGGTGGTTGAAAGGAAGGGAGGAGGGAGGAAGGAGGGACGAGGGAGGTAAAGGGAAAGGAGGGGAGGTGGGTTGAAAGGGGGAGGAGGAGTGATGGGAAGCGAGAGGGAGAGGGGGAAAGGAGGGAGAGGGGATAAAAGGTGATTGAAGGGGGGAGGGAGATGGTAGGGAAGGGAGGGGAGGGGGGAAGGAAGAGGGGATGGGAGAGGGGAGGGGGTGGTGGTTGAAAGGGGGAAGGAGACGGAGGGGAAGGGGAAAGGAGGGGGAGGGAGAGGGTATAGGGGGAACGGAGGGTTGAAGGGGGGGGGAGAAAGGGGGGAAGGGAGAGGTAAGAGAGGATAAGAGGAAAAGAAGGAGGAGAGGGGATAAGGGGAAAGGAGGGAGAGGTGGTTGAAGGGGGGGGAGCGGATGAAAGAGAGGATGGGAGAGGGGTAAAGGTGGGGTAGGGGTGAATGGTAGTGGCTTTGATGGGGGGGGGGTGGGGGGCGGGAAAAGAAAAGAGGAGAAAGAGAGGATAGGGAAACTCTAAGGGGAAGGGGAAGGGGGAGAAGCAGAGCTGTAGGAGGAAGAGGCGTAAAGGGTTAAAGCTGAAGGAGGGAGATGGGAGAGAGAACTGAAAGGAGAATGAAGTAGGTAGTTTAATAGAGGTAGTCGAGTTGTAAACACGATAGGTGTTGCAGTATCCGTATAGTAGATTTGTTCACGTACATGAACATACATACATATACATATATATACATATAAACATTATATATATATATATATATATATATATATATATATATATATATATATATATATATATATATATATATATATATTATATATAATATATAATATATATATATATATATACATATATATACAGATATATATATATATATTATATATATATATATATATATATATATTATATATATTATATATATATATATATATATATATTATATAATTATATATATATATATATATATATATATATATTATATATAATATAATATAATATATATATATATATATATATATATATATATATATATATTATATTTACTTATTATCTATTTATTTATTCATTTATTTATATAATATATATAGATATATAGATTTATAATAATGTTTTTATATATGTGTATGTATGTATGTATGATTATCTATAGAGACATTCAATTTAGACAAAAGTAGCCTCTATTTGACTACGAATCTCTAAGAAGAAAAGGTTACAAAATACGACCGGAGGGAGATTTTTTCCGGAAATTTGTCGAGTATGAAAGGTGAGTTAACAAATTATGTAGAAAATTAAACAGTTCGATTTCAATCCCATTTAGACGCTAGTGAAATTCAAGTTAGGTGAGCTGTACACTGATACACACAGCGTAAATATACACACACACACACACACACACACACACACACACACACACCACACACACACAACACACACACACACACACACATACACACACACACACACGCACACACACACACCACACACACACACACACACACGCACACACACACACATATACACACACACACACACGCACAAACACACACACACACACACACATACACACACACACAGCCATTACAAACACACACGCAGACAAACCCAAAAGATGGAAAAATAAAAACAAAACAAAAATAAACCAAAATATATTTATTCATGTCAGTTTATATGTATACAGTATATGTGTCCGAATCAACACGCACTTTCCCGATGTTTGTTTTAATGCACTGATTCAAATAATGTTTTGATTATATTTCAAGAAATTATGCACATCAGTTATCCATGTTTTTTCTGTCCCTCCATTGTTATATTTTCGTTCACCCCATTTCCCTTACGATTACTTCAAATAGCTTTAGTTTGTTTGTTGTTTGTTTTTGTAATAATGAGGTTGTTCTTCCAATGTAAAGGTAAATTGATATAATATCCCTCAGGAATTGTTTTCACATTTTGTCGTTTTTTGTGTCCAATTATGTATTTTAGGTTTTCATGCAGAAGTCCTCAGTATTTTGTGAGAAGATTATCATCAAAGTAAAAGGGTAATAATTGAAATAATTGAAAATAATTGAAATATGTTATCATTCACAATCAAT